GGGGTCGGGTAGTGCCCCTCCGGTTTTCGGGGGGGGGGGGGGTTCCAACCGGTAGTGACCCCCCCCGGTTTTCCGGATCCGGAGGGGGGGGGGGGGGGTTCGAACCGGTAGTGACCCCCCCCGGTTTTCGAGGGGGAGGGGGGGGGGGGGGAGGGGTTAGGGAGGGGGGGGGGGTTTTGCCGGGAGGGAGGGGGGGGGGGGGGGGGGAGGGTTCCGGCAGGGGGGGGGGGGGATTTCGGAGGGGGGGGGGGAGACCCCCGGGCTCCGGAGGAAAAGGTTGGCAATTTTCCACAGTAAAGCGGCGGTGGATCACGCTCTCTCAGATATTTATTTCCTCCCGGCGCAGGAAAAAAACTAACTTCTTTTCTAACTCAGGAAATTCCTTACCACATTTCTTTATACCTCTGTTCGTTCCTTCTTGAACCACCCAAACAGTTAAATCTTTTTCTAACACAGGGAATTCCTTGACACATTCCTTGTTCACTCCTCCTTTTTTTTTGAACCACAAAAAGCGATATCCCTTTCTAGCTCAGGAAATTCCTTTCCACATACCTTTCTAACTCCTCTTTTCCTTCCCGAACCAGACAACACCGAATTCCTTTTCTACCCCAAAAGATTCCATGTCAAATTCGTTCCTAACTCCTTTTCCTTCTTGAGCCACACTATAAAGAAATTTCTTCCTAACCCAGGGGGTACCTGATCATGTTTCTTACTATCTCCTTTATTCCGTCCTGAATCACAACAAAAATGAGGATCCTTCCTAACGCAGGAAATTATTATTACATTCCTTTCTAGCTCCTTTTCCCTTCCTGAGCCACAGAAAAACAACCACAAAAAAAGGAATGCCGTTTCCTGTTCAGGAAATGCCTCATCAAATTCCGTTACGGCTTGTTTTTTCTTATCTTTCAGTAGCCACGAACACTAAAAGGGTTAATTCTGTTATAACCCAGGCGATTCTTAATCGCATTCCTTTCTGGTTCCTTTCTTCCTTCCGGAACCGCGGAAAACCCACATCCCGTTCTAATTCAGGAAGTGTTTCATCAAATGTTTGTATCATTTTCCCTTTCCCGAACCGCAAAGAAAGAAACTCTTTTCTAACACAGAAAATTCCTTACCACATTCCTTTGTAGTTTGTGCATTGCTCAACCACAAAGAAAAAACGAGCTTCCGTCAAACTCCAGAATCCAGGGAATTCTTTATCAAAGTCCTAATTCCTTTTACCCTTCGGAACCACACCAAGACACACACTTCCTTCTAACCCAGGCAATTCCTTATCACATTCCTTTCAAACTCCGCCTTCCGGAGCCAAAAACATGAATGCCCTCCTAACCCAGGGAATTCTTTATCGCATTCCTTTCTAGCTCCTTCTTTCTTTCCCGAATCATCAACATACGAACTTCCTTTCTAACCCAGGAAATTCCCCATCGCACTCCTTCCAACATTATTTCTTTTCCCCGTCTGAGGCCGCAAGCAAATAATTCCTTTCTGGCCCAACAAATTCCTTACCATATTCCTTTCAAGTTCTTCGCTCCCTTTCTCAACCACGAAAAAATCCCTTCAAACGCAGGAAAGTATGTTCAAACTCCGTTCTCACTGACTCATCTCATGAGTCATTTGGGATTCCCGAGCAGCCTTTTCCGACTCATGAATGTATACCACATTCGGTTATATTTTCCCTTCTTTCTTGAAACACACAAGCAAATTAGATCCCGTTCTAACTCAGGCAATGCCTTAACACCTTCCTTTTCTAACTCCTGCTTCCCTTCCTGAAGAACACAAGCGGATACTCCTTTCTAGCTCAGGTAATTTCTGACCACATACCATTTTAACGCCCTTTCACTTGCCTGGACCACACAACACGGAATGCCTTTTCTACCCCCGGAAATTCCATCGGATAGTTGTTTGTATGTTTTTTGTTGCCTTCCTGAACCACAACAAGCAAATGTCCTTCCAAACCCAGGGAATTCTTTATCGCATTCGCTACCGGATTACTGCCGAATTATTTTTGTCGTCCTGAGCCACAAAAGACGAAGTCCCTTTCTAAGTCAGGGAACTCTTTATCACATTCCTTTGTAACTCCTGTTTTTTCCTTCCTGAACCATCAGAAGACGAACTTCTTTTCTAATTCAGGCAATTCCTTACCACATTCCTTTCTAACCCCTCTTCCTTCCTGAATGAGAGACAGGCTCAATCCCTTTCCTAACCCAGGCAATTCCTTATAGCCATTCCTGTATAACTCCTTTGTGTGTTCCTTCCTGACCTTCCCAAAAGCGAAATTCCTTTCTAACCTAGGAAATGTCTTAACACATCCCTTTGCGACTCCTTTTTTTCCTGGTCCCCAACAAATCACACACTTCTTTCTAACCAAGGGGGGGTCCGTACCACCTTCCTTTCTAACTCCGCTTTACCTTCCGGAACCTCAAAAAAACAGTCCTGTCTAACTCAGGAAATTCCTTATCACATTTCTGTCTAACTCCTGGTATTCTTTCCCGGCCACAAAAAAACAAAAGTCCGTTCTAAGTCAGGGGACTCCTTATACTATTCCTTTATAGCTCCTTTTGTTTGTCCGTCCCGAACCACGAAAACACACATTCCTTTCTAAACCTGGGAATTCTTCATTACTTCCCTTGCGAACTCATTGATGCCTTCCTGATACACAAACAAAAGCAAAACGCTTTTCTAACCCAGGGAATTCCTTTGCAGCTACCTTTCTAACTCCTGTTGTCTCTTCTGAGCCGCGAGCAAAAACGATCTTCCTTTCGAACTCGGGGAAAGTATGTATCACATTCGTTTCTAAGTGCTTCGTTCCTTCCTCAACCACAAAGGAACGGAATTTCTTTCTATTTCAGGAAATGCTTTAACACATTCCTTACTAATTGCTTTGTTGCCGTCGCGAACAAACAAACATCCCTGTCTAGCCCAGTTCCTTATCACACTTCTTGCTGGCTTATTTATTTCGTCCTGTGCCACAAAACGGCGGACTTTCTTGCTAACTCCGGAAATTCCTCATCACACCCCTTTTCTAACTATACTTGTTTTCTTCCCTGACCAAAAAAACGAATTCCCTTTCTAACCGAGGGAACTGTTTTATCACATTCATTTAGAAGTCCTTTGTTCCTCCCAGAACCACAGAACAACACAAATCCTGTCTTAGTCAGGAAATGTCTTGTCACATCTTGTTATAACTCCTTGCTTCCGCCCTGAACTACAACTACGCAAGTTGTAACTCTGGAAATTCCTTGACACATTCCTTTCAAACTCGTTGTTTCTTTCCTGAACAACCAAAACGGAAATTCTGTTCCAACTCAGGAAATTCCTTACCACATTATTTTCGAACTTTCTGCATGTTCTTCCCCAGGCACAACACAAAAAAACAACAACAACATTCTTTCTATCGCAGGGCATTCCCGGAATACTTTCTCTGTAATTCCTTCTTCCCCTCCTGAACCACAGCAACGCAATTCCTTCCTAACTCAGGCAATTCCTGTATGAATTCCTTTCTAACGTCTTGTTTCCTTCCTGGGCCACATAACAAAGGCATTCCTTTCTAGCTCAGGAAATTCCTTATCACATTCCATTATACCTCCTTTTTTCCTTTCTGAACCACACACAGAACAGCAACTTCCTTTCTAACACGGGAGTTTCTGTATCACATTCATTCCTTTCCAGCTCCTTTTCTTTCCCGAGCCACAAACAAACGAAATTCCTTTCCTACCTAGGAAATTTCTTATCGTATTCCTTCCTGTTCCTTTCTTTTGTCCTGAAGCACAAAAACCACGACATTCTCTTCTACCCGGAAAATGATGGGTCCAATTCCTTTCTAATTCTTTTTTTGTCTTCCTGAACAACGAACAGCGATATTCCTTTCTGACTCAGGAAATTCCTTTTCCAATACCTTTCTAACTCTTTGTTTTCTTTCCCATCCACACCAAGAAACAAGAGTCCGTTCTAAGCTAGGGAATACCTTATATTTTTCATGTATAACTCCTTCTTTCTCTCCTTCTGAACCACCAAAAGGAGGAACTCCCTTTATAAGTCAGGAAATTCTGAACACAGTCCTTCCTAACTCGTTTTCCCCACTTCTGGAACTACAGAAAAGTGAATTCTTTTCTAACCCAGGAAATTCTGTATCACATTCTTTTCTAATTCTTTGTTTTTCCGCAGTGGACCACAAACAAAAAAAACATTCTGTTCTAACCTAGGAAATCCCTTTTCAAGCTCATTTTATAACTCCTTTTGTCCTTCCTGAACCTCAACAGATTCAAAATTCCATTCGAACTCGGGAGGTTGCTTGTCACTGTCCTTTCTAAGTCCGTTTTCCTTCCTGTTCCTGAACCACAGAAATACACATTCCTTTCTAATTCATGAAAATTCCTTACCACATTCCTTTACATCTGCTTTTTTCCTTCCTGAGCCACAAAAACATGACATCGCGTTCTGATTCAGGACAGTCCTTGTCAAACGTTTTGTATAACGTTTTAACTGATCAGCGAATTCTTAATGCAGGAAAGCAAGTCTAGTACTTTGCCTCGGATTGAATGTCGGAAACACAAAGTATAGTGTAGGAAATCAAGTATTAACGTAGTGAGTTAGGGGGGGTGCCTCGGAGGCGCCGATCCCATGCATGTTCACGTTACTCAGGGCCCCCCCACAAATTCTGAGAACCCTCTTGGGGAAGGGTGGCCAGGGTTTCTTCGGTCCCCCTCTCGCGCGGACAGTAACAATTTACAGTAGGAAGCAGAAAGCAAGACTGTAACATTTAAGAAAGGAAACTGGAGCTGGCGCAGGGCCCTGGAAACGGGAACTGGCGCAGGCCACTGCAACCCTAACCCTCGCAGCCTGGTGGCCCCGTAAAGGGGCCGACGGATTCTTGACCATTTGTTGGAATTGTTTACTGTCTCCTTAAAAAAAAATTGCCTGTGGGAGCACATGCCCGACCGAATTCCAAGTGGATATTTCCTCCCCCGGAGCTGGTCCATCCCAGCGTGGCCCCTCGCGAGGGCGTGCCCACGGTCGGCGGGTCCTTCAGCATGCGGTCGTCCCAGGGCAGCGGGCAGCGCGCCCCGCCAGCAGGCAGGCTGTTGGCACACGGGAAAAGCCCAGGCCTCCCAGATGGGGTCGGAGGGTCGCGCCGCTTCGACGATGCATCGGCGATGCGGCTCGATGTGGAGCCCGATTTTCTCCTCGCCGGCGGCGCCGATGCATCGCCGCCGTCGCCGGTGTACCGCCAACGCATCGGCGATGCATCGCCGACGCATCGGCGATGCAGCGCGATCCTCCGACCCCATCTGCTCCGACCCCATCGAGGAAGCCTCTAGAGAGGCGGCACGTCGCGCGCGACGGACATGTCCTTATCCGCGCCCTCCTCTCTCTCCTCCTCCTCCTCCTCCTCCTCCTCCTCCTCCTCCTTGTCCTCCTCCTCCTCCTCCTCCTCCTCCTCGCCTCCTCCTCCTCCCCTCCTCCCCTTCTCCTCCTCCACCTCCTTCTCCTCCCTCCCCTCCCTCCTCCTCCTCCTCTCCTCCTCATTCGCCTCCTCCTCCTCCTCCTCCACCCTCCTTCTCCACCTTCTCCTCCTCCACCTCCTCCTCTCCCGCCGCTTCCTCCTCGTCTTCTTCCTTCTCGTCCTCCTCCTCATCATCCTCATCCTCGTCCTCCCCCCCTGCCTGCCCAGACCCCCTCGAGTCATGAACAATCACGACGGTTTTTTTTCACTATTGTCGGCTTTTGGGGGCCCCATACCGGGCCCCGGGGTTGTCAAAAACGACTCAGGATGAAGAAGCGATCTTGGGGAATTGGTCGAGGCTTTTGGGGGTCGACGTTATGAAATAATCATGACGTCGGGGGTCTGGGTCCTCACTCTCTCACCGAATCGTGGCGTCAATATGTAAGTAACACCTTGCTGGACGGCATCGTCTACGTTGAAGCTTTTTCCTCCCACCCCCACCGCCACGGCCACGTGGCCGATCGTCTGCTTGTCAACAATACTCCGACGGTAGGGCCCCGCATGCTAATGTTTTCATCTTCGCTGGGGGTATCCTCCTGCCTTCTCCTTCTCCTCCTGCCTCATCATCCTGCCTCCTCCTCATTCCTCCTGCTCCTCCTCCTCCTCCTCCTCCCCTCCTCCTCCTCCTCCTCCTCCTCTTCGTACTCCTCCTTCACCTCCTCCTCCTCCTCCTCATCCTCGTCATTTTCTTCCTCCACCTCCTCCTTTGTCCTCTCCATCCCGCCTGTTCTCCTCATGCACCTCCCCTTCCTTTTGGCCAGGGCACGCATGCCGATTTTCCTCGGCGCCCTCGCGGCCACGGACGGCATGCGCGCGCGCATTCTCCGATGGCCGGATCGCGAAGCCCTTGGGGCAACCCCACGGGCCAGGTCGTTGGGACAACCCCGTTGGCCGTTGGGTTGGGACCTCGGAGTGAATTGCCGGGACAAGCCCGCATGCCTTCAGCTGGGCGCCGCCGTGCTAAGAGAGGTGGGTGGCAGCGCGAAGATAAGCTCTGCCGTGAGCTCCGCCTCAGCCCCGGAGCTCGCAGACCTCCTGTCGAACATGGAGGTGGGCTCACGCTGGATGATTTCCGCGCGATTCACTCGCAGACGATGCCCCACTCGAGATTGCCTCCAGATTCGGGCCTGGGGAACCCAGAAGTGACGACGGTTACATGTTCCAGATGGCCCGCTCGGACTCGAACGTGGAGGTGGGGACCCCATAGGGAAGGATTTCCGTTCGGGACGTCCTCGCAGTTCCCTCATAAACGATGCTCACGCCTGAGACTTCTTCTATGTTCACGCCAGAGGAGCCCCAAAATGACGATTGCTATAAGTTCCAGAAGACCCGTTCGAATTCGAACGTGGAAGCGGGGGCCCGCCTGAAACGTCCTCACGAGTCACTCACCGACGACGCCCCCGTCCGAAATTCCTTACATATTCAAGCCTGGGGAACCCAACACTGCAGTAACAGGTGTCAGACGACCCGCTCGGATTCGAACGTGGAAGCGGGGACCCCATAGCCCCAAAGTGACGATTGTTGTTGGTTTGATCATGACCCTCTGGGACTCAAACGCGTGAGGTGCGTGCCCCACGAGGGCAGGGGTTCCCGCTTGAGACGACCTCGCAATTGAGTCACAATCGAGGCTCCCGTTCGCGTTTCCCTCCATGTTTAGGCTCTGGGGGGCCCAAGCGTAACGACAGTAACAAGTTTGAGGATGATTCCTTGGGATCAGAAATCCGAAAGACGGGCCCTATAGGGAGGGGGCTTCCGCCTGAAACGTCCTCGCGGTTGCCTTACAAACGAGGCTCCCGCCGAATCTTGCTTTCGTATCCAGGTTTGGGGAACCGAAGGGCGACGACAGGTACAGGTTTGAGGATGGCCCCCTGGGATTAAAAAGCGCGAAGTGCGTGCCCCGTAAAAACGGGCTTCCGTTCGAATTTTTCTCCACGAACTACTCACAAGCGAGGTTCCCGTTTGAGACATCCGCGATATTCAGGCCCGAGGAGTCCAAAAGTGACGATAGTTAATGGTTTGGGGATGACCCTTGCAGGGAGTAAAATGTAAGCCGCGGGAGACGTCCTTGCGATTTGCTCAGACGGGGCTCCTGTTCGACACTTCCACAGCACCCAGGGTCGAATAGCCCAACGGTAACAACAGCTACAGGTTCGAGGATGACCCGTTGTGATGAGTCACACATGGGGTGCGCGACCGACTGGGATGGGGTTCCAGATCGAAACTCCCTTCGGGGTGACACTATGAGTGCATGAGTGAGTGGGTGTGTAGGTGGGTAAGAGAGTTTGAGTGTGCTGATGATGACCGGCGGCAATGCTGAGATGATGAAGGCGATGCTGATGGTGTGATTGCGATGATTGGCGATGATGATGATTTTCCCCATCATCCTGTGGTGTTGGGTCTTCGTTTTGGCGACATAGTCCCCGCGTCTCTTCCTCCTCTCCTATCCTCTCCTCCTCCTCTCCTCCTCCCACACCCCTCCTACGATTCGTGGCCCCATGAGGAGCCCCACCGAAGGCCCCATTGGCATGGTTCGCATGCCGCCCCCCCCTCCACTTTGGCACACCCCTCACGCGTTTCGTGGCCCCGTAGGGGGCTCCACCGAGGGTCCCAGTGGCATGGTTCGCATGCTGTCCTCCCTGCACTTTGGCGCACCCTTCACACGATTCACGGCCCAATAGGGAGCTCCACCGAAGGCCTCATTGGCACGATTCGCACGCAGCCCCCTCCTTTGTGGCACACCCCATCGCATGCTTCGTGGCTCCATAGGGAGCTCCACCGAACGCCCCAGGGGCATGGTTCGCATGCCCCCCCCCTCTTTTTAGGCACACCCCTCACACGTTTCGCGGCCCCACAGGGAGCTTCATTGAATGCTCCAATGGCATGGTTAGCATGCCGCGCCCCCTCCACTTTGCCACACCCCGCACACGTACTGTGGCCCCAAAGGGAGCTCCGTCGAAGGTCCCAGTGGCATGGTTTGCATGCCGCCCCCCTCCATTGTGGCACACCCCTCACGCGTTTTGTGCCCCCGTAGGGATTTTCACCAGAGGCCCCAGTGGCATGGTCCACATTCCGACCCCCTCTACTTCGGCACACCCCGCATACGCTTCGTGGCCCCGTAGGAAGGTCCACCGAAGGCCCCAGCGGTATCGCCCGCATGGCGGCCCCGCACCGTTGCGGCGCACCCTTGGTGCGCTTCGCGCCCATATGGGGGCTCCACTGAAGGTCGTTCTCACAACGGCTGTGATAACAACTGCGTCTGTTTGGCTCCTTCGCCTGTATCATTTAGTGATGATAGTGAGTGAGTGTGTGGATGTGTGTGACAGTGCGCGTAACTGCGTGACTGCGTATAGGTTGACGATGGTGGTGGTGGTGGTGATGATGATGATGATGGTGGTGATGATGATGAGGGAATGAGTGGGTGGGTGAGTGAGTGAGTGAGTGAGTGAGTGGATGAGTGGGTGAGTGAGTGAATGGTGATGATGCTGATGATGATGCTGCTGATGATGATGGTGGTGGTGATGATGGTGATGGTGCCGATGGTGATGATGGTGATGACGATGATGGTGATGACGACGATGACGATGACGATGAGGACGATTATGATGATGCTGATGCTGATGCTGATGCTGATGCTGACGCTGACGCTGATGCTGCTGATGATGCTGATGATGATGATGACGACGATTATGTTGATGCTGTTGATGAGGTGAGGAGAGAATAGGGGCGGTGTGTGAGGGATTCCTACGCGTGTGGTGCACAGAGAAAGTTACCCGGGCGAAGGACTCAAACATACGTAGTTGTGATGCGGCTGTACAACCGTTGTGAGAACTGCCTTCGGTGGAGCTCCCTATGGGCGCGCAGCGCGCGATGGGTGCGCCGCAATGGGGCGGGGTCGCCATGCGGGCGCTGCCGCTGGAGCCATCGGTGGAGCTCCCTATGGGGCCGCGAAACGTATGCGGGGTGGGTCAACGTGCAGGGGGGGGAGGCTGGGCAAGCAATTCATGGCGCTGGGGCCCTCAGTGGAGCTCCTTGTGGTGCCGCGAAACGTGTGAGGAGTGTTCCAAACTAGAGTGGGCGGCATGCGAACCATTCCATTGGGGACTTCGGTGAAGCTCTCTGTGGAACCCACAACACGTGTGAGGGGTGTGCCAATATGGAAACGGGGGCGGTATGCGAACCATGCCATTGGAGCCTTCGGTGGAGCTCCCTGTGTTGCCACGGAACGTGTGAGGGGTGTGCAACACTAGAAGGGGGGGAGGCATGCGAACTACGCCACTGGGGCCTTCGGTGGAGCTCCCCATGGGGGCACGAAACGTGTGAGAGGTGTGCCAACATAGAGGGGGTGGCGGCATGCGAAGCATGCCACTGGGGCCCTTAGTGGAGCTCTTCCTGGGGCCGCAAGAAGTGTGATGGATGTGCCAAGGTGGACGGGGGGCGGCACGCGAACCATGCCCATCAGGCCTTCGGTGGAGTTCAATATGGGGACACGGAACGTGTGAGGGGCGTGCCAAAAGAGGGTGGCGGCATGCGAACCATGCCATTGGGGCCTTCGGTGGAGCTTCCTATGGGGCCACGAAGCGTGTGATGGGTGTGTCAAAACGGAGGGGGGGCGGCATGCGAACCATGCCACTAGGGCCTTCGGTGGAGCTCCCTCTGGGGCCACGAAGCGTGTGACCGGTGTGCCAAAATGGAGGGGTGGGTGGGCGACATGCGAACCATGCCGGGCCACGAAACGTGTGAGGGGTGTGCCAAAGTGGAGGGGGCGGCGGGGGGAGCGCGGCATGCGAAGCATGCTATTGGGGCCTTCGGTGGAGCTCCCTCTGGGGCCACGAATCGTGTGAGTGGTGTGCCAAAGTGAGGGGAGTGACGGCAGTGCCGAAGTGGTTGACATGCGGAGTGCTGAGGGAATGTTGGAGGAGGGAGAAGTGGGAGGAGGAGGAGGAGGAGCAGGAGCAGGAGGAGGAGAGGGACGAGGAGGAGACGCGGGGATGGTCTTTCCAAAACGAGGACCCAACACTACAGCGTGGTTGCGAACAAAACCCCACTGTGTATGTGGTGAAGAACAGAGAATGCGGGCCCCACAGGGAGGGGGAGTCCCGCCTGAGACTTCCTTCAATGTTCTCACAGACGAGGCTCCCGCCCTAGATATCTTTCATATTCAGGCGTGAAGAGCCCAAAAGTGACGACAGTGACTGGTTCGAGGATGACCCGTTGCGATGAAAAATGTGAGGTGATGGACCCGTAGGGAGGGGGCTCCCGTTCGAGACTTGCCTCGGGGTGAGTATGTGAATGTGTGTGTGTGTGTGCGTGTGTGTGTGTGTGTGTATGTGTGTGTGTGCGAGAGAGTGTGAGGTGAGTGCGTAAACTCGTGTGAGATGTTGACGATGGTGGTGATGATGATGGTGATGGTCCTAATGTGATCGCCAGTGAGTGAGTGGGTTATTGAGTGAGCGAGTGAGTGAGTGATTGGGTGATTGATGAGTGGATGAGTGAGCGAGAAATTGCGGGTGAGGACGTGAGTGAGAAAGAGAGGAGAGGGGGTGAAGGGTTCCTGCGCGGGGTGTCCAGAGCAATATCAAGAGCCCCACTTCGGATGTGGACAAAAATCCGTATCCGTGCCCGCGCCGTTTGGATTCCGGTGCGCGATCCCGCGGAGTGCGCGGGATCGCGCAGGTACCCGTGCGAGGCACATCCGCGAAAGAAGTGTCCCGTGTCCGCTGGGTCGCGGCCCAGGGCCTCGGGCCTGCGAGGCCGCGGACGCGGACATGTCTCTCGCCCGTGGGCATGGCCTCCGCGGCGGGAGTTTCTCCACGACCACCGCCCGGAGGATCGACTTTCGGGGGCCTCCGCAGGCGAAGGTGCCCCGCCGATCCTGGTGGCCCGCTGGCTTCCCGGGCTCCCGGGTTCCCGGGCTCCCTGTTCCTGGTCATTGGTTCCGGGCCGATGTCGGTGGGTTCCGGGCTCCTTGGTTCCCGGCCGATCTCCTCCGAGGAGATCGGCCGGGAACCAAGACATCGACGACGACATCAGCCGAGGAGATCCTCCTCGTGGGATCGATGAAGACATCGACGACGTCGACGTCTTCATCGATCCCACGCGTCATCAGGCCATCCCCTGGACGTGTTCGGCACCCCCGGGGGCCAGCCGCCGAGGCGGCGCTCCAGCCGCGGCCTCGCCCCCGAGGGGCGGGGAGGGGCTGGCGCCTCTCCTCCTCCTCCTCCTCCTCCTCCTCCTCCTCCTCCTCCTCCTCCTCCTCCCTGGCGGAGGGCGGCGGGAGGTGGCGGGAGAGGAGCAAGATGAGGGCGGCTCCGCCGGCGGAGGCCGGCGGAAGTAGCACGTGCGCCCCCAAGGTGTGCAGAGCTATGCCATCGACTAGACGTAAGAGTGACCCTTCGCCGGAGTGACCTTTGGTGCGGGCACAGATGGGTCCCCAGATGGCTGAAAGCGAAGCAGTAGGAGCTGCTTGCGCGCCCAGGTTTGGTCCCCCCGCGGCCCCCAAAAAGTCGCGCACCAAAGGTCACTCTTATCCAGGGTCACTCTTGCGTATAGCCGATGCCAACTGTTCAGTGGGTGCCCGCCACGCTGGCGACGCACTCGCCAAAATGCTACCCTGCGAGGGCGACGCGCACGTTCGCGAGGACGGCCGGCCTTTTCGGCGGCCGACGCACGGCCGGCGCACGGGCGACGAACGTGCGACGCACCCCTTGTCGCGAGGGGGGGGGGTCAGCACGCAGGTCGTGTTACTGGGCCTCAACAGTGGCAACCTTGTTGGGTTCAGTTTTTCTGGAGACGGCCATATGGCCTCATCCACCGCACGTCAGGGCCCCAGGGCGTCGTGTCTCCAGGCGGTGGAAGTATTGGCGAGTTCCCGCCTCGCACATGGGGGATATGGGGCTCCTAGGGCTCGGGCCTTCCAGGTGGGGTCAGAGTAGACGGGGTCGGAGGATCGCGCCACACCGCCGACGCATCGCCGATGCGGTTCGATGTGGCGCCCGAACGTTTCCACGCGGCCGCCGCCTAAGAGTCGGCGATCGACAACGCGGCGAGATCCTCCGATCCCACCCACTCCGACCCATGCTCGGAGGTCTGCGCGAAGTTCTGGGGTTCGCGCTGGCCCCCCCTTGGCGTCGCTTGGCGTCGCCTCCTACGCCTCCGGCGCGGCCCTTGGTGGGCCAGCGCCGAGCCAAGCGCTCTGCGCGGGCCTCCGGCAGTTTGTTCTCGAGCGGCGCTCGGCTCCCAGACCCTCGACCTCATGACTTGCTCACGACGTCGGCCCCTGGAGGGCTCGACCCATTTCCCAGGGCGGGCTTTTCGTCCTGAGTCGTTTTTTCTCTTTCTTCCAATGCGTGAATTACCTACACCGCTTTCGCTTTCAGGCAAAACCAAGTCATACCACGCGCTTCCTCGTCAAGCGGGCTGACCAGTACAGGCCGTGGTTTGGCATCGTTTGGTATATCGTGGAAGCGAGGGTGGTCAAAAGCGAGGTAGGTCTGTTTTCCCCTATTTTTGACAGTCCCGGGGCCCAGCGAGGGCTCCCAGAGGCAGAAAATAGCGGATCATTTCCCGCCGGGACTTTTCTGTGCCCTCCCCGGCGATGGGGCCGCCAAAGGACAATTCGGGGTGCCGGCCTGGCCGCGGGGGCGGCCCCGCAGCCGAGCGGCCTTCTGCCACCAGGGGCTCCCCGTCTCGGGGGGAGGGGACATGGGCACAAGCACGCACGCACACAGAAGCAATGCCTGTTAGGAAAAAGTGTGAAAGGAGGATATCCCCAACGTTTTTTTTTCCCCCGATTTTTTATATACATATATATATATATATATATATATATATATATATCAGAGTGAGGGGGCCGAACGGTCATTCACTGTCCCTGGGTGCGTGGCTGAAGTGGGATTCCGCGGTGCGGATTCGTGTTGTTGTTGTTGTTGTTGTTGTTTGTTGTTGTTGTTGTTTGTTGTCGTCGTCCCACCCGCCACCCGCCCCGCGACCCACCGGCGACCCAGCCCGCGACCCACCCGCGACCCACCCGCGACCCACCCGCGACCCACCCCGCGACCCACCCCGCGACCCATCCCGCGACCCACCCCGCGACCCACCCGCGACCCACCCGCGACCCACCCGCGACCCACCCGCGACCCACCCCGCGACCCACCCGCGACCCACCCGCGACCCAAACCACGTTCAAGGTACAAACCAACATTTTCGGCGCCTGCGGCGGGCTTTTTTTGCATTCCTTCCAGGTGGAGAGCCCGCGACCCACCCCGCGACCCACCCCGCGACCAACCCGCGACCCAAACCACGTTCAGGGTACAAACCACATTTTTCGGCGCCTGCGGCGGGCATCTTTTGCATTCGTTCTAGGTGGAGAGACCGCAGCCCACCCGCGACCACGTTCAGGGTACAAACCAATTTTTTCGGCGCCTGCGGCGGGCATCTTGTGCATTCGTTCCTGGTGGAGAACCCGCGGCCCACCAGCGACCCAAACCACGTTCAGTGTACAAACCAATTTTTTCGGCGCCTGCGGCGGGCTGCTTTTGCAGGAGGACGAGGAGGAGGAGGAGGAGGAGGAGGAGGAGGAGGAGGAGGAGGAGGAGGAGGAGGAGGGGGAGGAACGGACGACGACGACGACGACGACGACGACGACGACAAAAAGGAGGAGGGGGGAGGATCGGGAGGGGGGGAAGAGGAGGAGGACGACGAGGAGGATCATGACGACAATGGGAGGACGATGATGGAAGGACGAGGGGGGGAGAGGGAGGACGAGGAAGAAGAGGAGGACGAGGAGGACGAGGTGGAGGAGGAGGACGACGATGACGATGAGGACGAGGACGAGGACGAGGAAGAGGAGGAGGAGGAGGAGGAGGAGGCGGAGGAGGAGGAGGCGGAGGAGGAGGAGGAGGAGGAGGAGGAGGAGGGGGAGAAGGAGAGCGCCATCGACAGGGAAGGTGGGGGCCACGAGGTCCGCCGGCTTGACGACGCCCGCGTCGCCCGCGCCCGCCCCCTCACTCTTATCCGCAATTGCGGGGTGCTATATATATATATATATATATATATGTATGTATGTATATATAAAAAACAATGAGCAAAAACCGGGACTCGGGGGCCTTGTGCCGATCTGTTTGTGGTGCCCCCCTGGGCCCCGGACCTGCTTGGCTCCAACAGGCAAGGGCGCCCCGGCAGGCGCCCGGGCCCGGGCAGGGACCCCCGGGCGCTCCGTCGCGGGCCAGATGCTCGCCCGGGCCAGGCGGCCGCGCCTGGCGGGCCGGAGCGGCTCGCTGGACGGGGGCCCCGCCCGGCTGGGCTCGAGTGACGGCGCGAGGGCTCGCATCCCTCATCAGTGCCCGACGCTGACGGAGCTGGGCGCCCGAAAAAGTGATTCTGCATCTTCGGGGGGCCTGGATTTGTCCCCTGCCAATGGCAGTCTTCTCTCGTCCTTCGACGTGGGCTCGACGCGGATTCCGGTGTGGGTTCGGCACGGATCCGACACGGATTCATCACGGATTCGACGAGCTCTACACGGATTCGACGTGGATCGCGGCGCGATGGGACAGACGAGGTCCCCCGAAAATGCAACACAACGAACATCGAGACCTCCCACATGGGATCCGAGTGGATGGGGTGGAAGGATCGTGCCGCATAGCCGATGCATTTGCAATTCGTCGCCGATGCGGCTCGATGTGGAGACTGATTTTATCAAAACCGACGTCGCCAATACAGCGCCGATGGATCGCCGATGCATCGGCCTTGCGGTGCGATCCGTCCGCCCCTTCTGCTCAGGCCCCATCTTGGAGGCCTCTAGAAAAGGGGACGACGCAAAGGGAGACGGCGCCGGATGGTTCTCCAAAGCCACGAGCGGCCCCTCTCGGACAGGCGACACTCGAGGCGGACAGGAGCTGCTGTCGGTCGTCGTCCAAATTCTGTCCTTCCCCATTTCGGTCATCCTGGAAGGAGCAGAGGCGGTTCAAAGCTGCCGTGCGGAGGACAGAGGTCAACATGAGAGTCAACCTCCCCATGCCAGAGGACGATGCTTTTTTAATCCGGGTCGTGAGAAGCCGCGGCTTCAGCATCGGAATCGCTGTCCTGATATTGTTCAGCACGGTCATGATTGGTGTCGAGACCCAGTTGTTGTCAAGCTTGTCCAGCCAGGAGGAGTCCAGCTCGGAGCAGTTGGTAAGTGCTTTGTCGGTAACGAATTACGCGCTCACCCTGCTGTTCACGGCGGAATTAGTGGTGCGGCTCTACGCGTTCAGGTTTGATTTCTTCGTCCACGAAAGAGTGTGGAATTTCTTCGACGTCATCATCCTTGTCCTGGCCCTCGCCGAAGTTGCCCTGGAGATCGTTGTGAAAGCGGTCTCTGGCACCAGGGGTGACATGTTCGGGGCAGCTGGCGGTTCTGCGAAGGTTCTGCGCCTCTTCCGCCTGACCCGGCTTCTCCGCCTTGTCCGAACTATTCGCCAGCTCAAACCGTTGCGGTTATTGCTGCACTCGCTGTTCTGCGCTGGCAAGTCTGTCTTCTGGGCGCTTTTGCTGCTCTTCATCATCGTGTATTCCTTCGGAGTTATCCTGACCCAGGCCGTGACGGAGCACACCGAGAGTGGCACGCGAGTCGAGGACGAGCTTCTGATGGACTATTACGGGAACCTCTATCGGTCTCTCCTCGTCGTTCTCCCCGCAAGTCGTCATATTCCTTCTCCATCTCAGCGGCGATAACGACTGCGGGGACGTTTGCGCGTACGTCAGCGTCTTGCGTGAGGTCACGTGTGAACGACCCCACTGCCACGCAGTATGCAGTGACCTGCGTGGGTAGCCTGCGTAAGCCGCCGCCTGTCCTCGTGCGCATGTTGGAGGCCAGACATGCACACAACGGTACGCTAGGCCATACGCCCAAGCGCGTGGGCGCTAACAGGGAATCGCCTTTATCAGTGTGGTTCGTAATGTGCTCAGCAATACCTCGCTCATCGGTGGGGTCCCAAACTTAGGACGTACTCTCCCTTGCCATGCACGCAAAGTTGTCGTACATTCGGCCCGATGTATAAGTTCGAGGTCGGTTCGGGGAGTGTGTTCTTCGTGCTTGTTGGATGTCCTTGTGCATCCTTGGGAGGGTGCCCTTGGATGTCCTGTTTGTTTTGGCCGACGGAGGGTCGCACTTTCTTAAAGGATTTTCTTCCGGCCTAGATGTTTCTGACCTAGGCCCGACTGTCTTGTGAGCGATGTTTTCCTCCCGAGTGTAACGCTCCTTACAGAGGCCAATCCCCTTCCCCACCCCCCACCCCCAGGTAACGCTAATGCGCCGGTGGCGCGAACGCACCCTGGCGGATGCTCGCCGCAGCCGCCGTTACCGTTACCTTCCCGCCCGAGACCCCCTGATCCCCCAGGTAACGATGGTTATCCGGGAGAGGAAACGACGGTCTTTCTGCTTTCCGAGTCGTGATGCCTCCTTGCTCCTCGCTGCTCACCCGCAGGTCAATGCTGAGCCTCTGGTGGGCGGTGTCTGGGGGCATCAGCTGGAACGAGCTCACCGAGCCGCTGGAGAGAACAGGAAGTTCGCTGTGGGTGGCGTTATCCCGAAGGCCCGCGCCATTCCGCCCCCCCCTCTCCTCCCAACAGAGGGCCTGTCGAATTGAATCCCCGCCCTACAGAGTGCACTCTTTAGGATGCAGCTCCTGGGATGTTGAACTCAGCATCAGTATCTGTGGCCGAGAGCCCGCTTCATCCAGAATAATCCGTTCAATTCCTCTTAGTGTGGCTTTATCGAGCTTATGCCTGGGTATGATCTGGACTGGTCTGGCTTCAGGGCCCTGTCATCGAGCTCCATAACTAGTCAGCCGTAGTCGTTTTGACGAAGACATCCCAGAAGCTGCTTCCGAGCTCTCCGTCCTGCTCTCTCTGCTCCTCCTCTCCCGCCCCTATTCTCCTCCTCCTCCTCCTCCTCTTTCTCCTTCTCCTCCTCCTCTCCGTCTCCTCGTCTTGTCCGGACGCTACAATCACGCTGATTCGCGGCGTTGAAGTCCCACGAATTGTGGTTTGTTTGTTGTATTTTAATGGGGCACCTCCAGCAGTGAAAATGTAATATTGTACAGTCAGCGGGATCTGGTTGGTAGTAATTATCTGAACAATATATTATCGGGAATGTTTGCGTTCCAAGAGGGAGACGCAAGAATGCCGAACGGACGCCATCCTTTATGATTCCGACCGACGGCGGCAACCGACCGGCGGACGGATTGATGACAACGGATCGACCGACAAGCCGACCGATCGAGCGACCGACCGACGACCGATGACAAGGACGACGACCGACGACGACGACCGACCGACAGACCGACCGAGACGACGGCGACCGACAACGACGGCCGACGGGCACGGCGAGTGACGACCGACGACCAGACCGACCGAAAGACCGACCGACGGACCGACCGAGACGACGACGACGACAAACGACAACGGGGACGGACGGACCGACACACCGACCGACCGACTACCGAGGACCGGACCGACCGACAGACGGACTGACCACACGCGCACGAACGCGCGCGCGCGTCCTGAGGCGTGAAGCTGTATCTATATTTCTAAAGCCCTATGTGGGGCGTGATTCCAGCCCCCAACTTTTACAAAGGAACGTGTTTCAGCCTCGGATGTCCACAAGACGAGTTCGTTCCAGCTTGTATTTTTACAAGGATAAACTGTCCAGCCGCCCACGGTTTGGGTTCTAGCCCGCAAGCTTTACGAGGGCAAGTGTTCCAGCCGCCCATGCCTACAAGACGAGTGCGTTCTTGCCGGAGTTTTCTAGGAGGAGAAGCATTCCAGCCGCCAACGGTGCACGTTCCCGACCTCCGTTTGTACCAGTGGCCGTGTTCCAGCCGCTTGCTGGCAAATTCTAATTGGCAAATCCGTCCAATGACTGCAGGGACCCATGGAAAGGGAACTTGGAGGGAGGCTGAATTGCAACATCTTGATGCGTCTTGGGTTTACACTGGCCCTTTTTCTTCCTCCTCCTGTTCCTCCTCCTCTACCTCCTCCTCTACCTCCTCCTCCTCCTCCTCCTCCTCCTCCTCCTCCTCCTCCTCCTCCCCCGGGCGCATTTCGCGCGCGCCTCCTCCTCCTTTTCCTCCTCCTCTTCCTCCTCCTTCTGCTTTTCTCGTTCTTCCAGTTGTGGCGCCAGCGCGCCCCCTGGCGTGGTGGCGGGCGTCGCAAGAACTCCCAGGGCCAGGGCCCGTATGATGTCTGCGGGGATTGCGGCCATTGGGAGTACAAGTCCTTCGGCAACTTCTGCTGCTCGAAGTGCGGGGGGGAGTATCTCACGGCGAGCGGGGCCCGCGGCTCAGGGGCTGCATGGCGTGGGCATGGAGGCCGCGGTGCCGGTGCAGCACCCGCATGCGCCAATGATGACAATGCCGAGCTACGTGCCGCCGCCGCCCTTCTACTCGCTGCGAAACCCGAACTTCGAGACGGACTTGCTCAATTTGTTCAAGATGAAGCCCCAGTTCAGCCTGAATGGTCTGTGGAACGCTTGCAAGATGCAGCCAGTGTTGAGCGCACCCGCCTCACCCGAGTTGTTGAAGACGCGGCGCAGGCAGTGCGTTTGGCCTCTCAAGATGTACATCATCGCAAGACGAACGTGCAGAAGCTTGAAGAACAGCTGGTCGAGGCGAGGGAGTTCCTGGCCACGGACACGGCTGCCCACGAGAAGACTGCACAATGCAAACGCGACTCGGATGAGGCGCTCCGGAATTTCAACGAGGAGCTTTGGATGGAGGAGAAGTGCAAGGATCAACGTCGTGCTCGTGAAGAAGCTGGAGCTGCTCGAGGGCCTCCACAGGGAGCTGAGGTACATGGAGGGGGTTGCGAACGTCCTGGTGGTCGTGAAGAGCCTTCTCCTGCTGGCGCTCGTGTGGATCCTGAGAGCATTCCCAACCTGGGCGACATGGACGAGGCCACCATCCGTGCCTATGCCGTGGAGAAGGGCCTCCCTCTGGAACTCCTGCTACAGTTCCAGAAGATGCCCAAGAAGGTTGCCCAGGACGTCGAGATGGATGCTGAAAGTGATGCTGGCAGCGATGCTGGTGACCTCGGTCAGCCTGAAGCTGATGAATTACGACAGCTTCGCAAGCGAGCTTGCGAAGCCGCCTGGGGCGCTGACGACCTGGCCAGGATGGAGGCCCTCATGTCAATGAAGTCCAAGGCTCGCCAGTCCAAGCGCATCAAGTCCTCCGCCGACGCAGCGTCGGCAGATTTTGCCAACCGCGTCCGCGACACGGTCTCCAGGTTGCCGACGCGGAGTTCCTGGCGTCCTTTTGCAGTGCAGTTCTGAAGTGAATGAGGGCACCACCATCTTTTTTTTGCAATATGACGCAATGGAGTGCGCTTGCGCGTAGCCTCATCACTGACCTGGATCGCAAGGCTGACGCCTTCTTCTTTGCTGAACACCGCCTGCTCCCCCTAGGTTGAATGCTGCAAAAGGGGAGTGCGCCACGATCAGGTGGCGACCGCCTTTTGTCCCTTCGCAAGGGGGGCCCTGGAGGGGGTTCGCGTGGAAGGGGTGGGTGGGTGTGGGGGGGGGGGGGGGGGGCCCCCCCCATGTGATCACAATGGTAATGGTTTGTATGTTAAGCGATTTCTTTCTCACGATGCGAGTGTGGAAGAGGCGCGTGCTGGAGATGGGTGGATGTTTCTGGGGCGTCGTGCTCGGCAGTCTGTCGTTGGGGTCGGCATTGTGCGCGCGGTGCCTGGACTGGGGGTCCGCTGGTGAGAATATTCGTAAGATGTTGGGGATGAATACTTGTTGTGCAGACGCTGGCTATCCCCTGGTTTTTGATTGGGAACTTCGACTTCGACATTGAGCTGATGCAGCTCTGCGGGCTCCTGAAGATGACGCATGCTTGCGCCATCCCTCCAGAGGGCGTTGCTTTCACCTGATCGCAAGGTCAAGGTGCGCTTATTGACTATGTTGCTGCACCGGAGACCCTCGCGCCGTTCCTGCGCGTCTCACGGTGCCCCGATTCTCCTTTCAAGACTCACGCGCGCCTGCAAGTGCATTTACCGCTTGAGGCTTTGCTCCAAGAGATGACCGAGCGACGTGAACCTCGGGCTTTTCCTGGCGCCTTGGGGCCTGAGTTTCCGCGGCATCGGCGCGTTGATATGATGTCTCGGGATTGGGCCCCCCCTGTCAGGAATCCTGATGTGGAGTTGGTTTGCTCGACGAATCTCCTTTTTGGGGCAGCATGTGGGGAAGTGTTCGCCGCGCCTCCCCGCCTCGCAGAACGCCCGGGCGCGGCGGGCTCAGCTATCCCAGATGGAGTCTGGAAGTCCGGCACTCAGCCCCGATATTTTCGATTTTCTGGTCTCCGAGTGCTCGGCTGCGCTCGGTCAGGCCTGGTCAGCTGCTCGCGCTGACACTGCTCAGGCGACAAAAGACTGGCTGCTTAAATCGCTTCCGCGAGGAGCGAAGAGAGCTCGCCAATGGATTCGAAAGGTGGATGGCGACCCGCTGGGGTTTTTCTGGCCTCTAGGGGGGTTCTCCAGCTGCCTGGTGAGACGATGGCCCGTCGGGCCCAGTTTGGGCCTCGGGGCCCGATCAAAACAAGGAACTTTGCGTAGCCATAAGTGAGCTTCGTCGGCGCTCTAGGGAAGTTCAGCCCGAGCTCCCCGACATCGAATGTAGAGATGTCTTTGCTGCTGGCAGGATGTTCTTCGACGGCGCGGCCGCGGGGGTTGGCCGCCGGCGGCCGCGGGGCCTCATGGGGGCTCAGCCTGACGCCTTCGAAGCTCTTGTCCAACGTTACTGGTCTCTTGAAGGGGGGCCTCATGTGGCCCGAACAGATTTTGCTCAGTGTTATTGCCTTCCCTCCAAAAAAGCAAAGCTGATGAGCGGCCTGCGTGTAAATGCATTACCCTGAACCGGGTTTATGCCAACATCCGCGGGACCTCCCCGGATGTTTGGAGTAGAGATCGCGCGGCGTTTTGGGGCGCCGCCATCAGGGGGAGCTCGGCATTGCAAGCTGCTTTGCGGCGCGAAGTGTCTCACGGGCTGGCGGCCTCTGAAGGCCAAGTTTCTGTCGGCGTCCATTGGGGCCCGCGCTGGTTTTTTGACGCTGCCTCCCCCGCCCCGCTGATCAGGCGCGGCTGCAACCTGCAGTTCCCTCCCCATCTCACGTGCATAGGTTAACTGATTCATGTTTCTCCCAGGGCGTTCGACACTGGAGCACTGGAGGGTACTGTTCTCGGGTGATTGAGTCAGGAGCTGGAATTATTCCAGGATGTTTCCAGAGCGTGCCATGGACTAAAGCGTACTGCTATCCGATGCTGGCCGGTATTCGTAATATTTACTTCTGTCATCACTCAGGGATATGTTGACGACCTCTCCCAGACCTCTCATGGCAGCGCCGATGAAGTTGCCTGCGCTATTGTTCTGGCAGCTCTGCACCCTGCGCATGGAGTTGATTGTCTGCGGCTGACGCTGTCGGACAAGTCGGCGATTGTCAGCAGTAGGCGTGCAGTCAGTCACCGCATTGCCCACGAGCTTCGGGCTGTTGGCGTTCGCTTGCGCGCGCAAGATACTGTTCGTGATCT